CGCAACGCTCCGCCGCGACCGGGGCAGTTTCTGGCTGCCCGTGAAAACTGTGCTGGGGGGGGAGGCTGGCAGGGCCGGCCTGGCCGTTCTGTAAAAGGCAGCGGTCAGAATCCGAGTAGGAAAAGGTGAAAGTTGCCGGGCAAACGCAAAGCAGATGCTTGGTGACGAATTCCGCTCCTGGAATCGCGCAGAGCCCCGGGGGGGGCAGCTCGGGGGGGGGCAGCCGGCACTCTGAGAGAGGCTGAAGCCTCCGGGGGGGACAAGGATGCTCCGTGTGAGGTCAGACAGGTGAGTCTTAGCTGGCCGGACTCGAAAATGTTTGCTCGTTTACAGACGTAATTGATCAGCATCTAAAGGTAATTCCGTGGTTTGCAAGTGTAATGTGCAAAGTTTTACGGCGTAAGCTTGGGGGAAGGTGTTAGAGAAGGGAAATGGGGTGATGTTTGTCCCCCCCCGGTCTCCCCTTTGGCCAACAGGGACAACTGGTTGCGAGACGCGAGGCTGTGCTGATGAGAGATGTAGTTACGAGCTCAGGTTTATCAAGATAGTCAGGAGGCTTGCAGGGATTTCAAAATGCAGAGGAGCTTTTTCCCCATTTCTGTGTTGTTTTGTTTTGTTTTTTTTTTAAAAAAAAAGCTTTTATGTTGTTAGCCTAAGGTTGTAAACCCAAGAAGATAAGGACTTTGTGAGATGCCAGCGTTCGGAGCAGCAGAGAAGCTGGCAAAATTGGAGAGTGCATCTGATGTTATGCCAAAAGTGCTTTTTTCCTAGAATCGATGCTGCTGAGTGAGGAATACCTGTTCTGGGTTATTAGCTGTTACAAACTGTAACAGAAATTTGTATAAAATATTGATTTTCTTAATCTAATTCCCGTCTCATGTTACAGTTATAGTCAGGAGATAAAGCAGATCTCTCAGCTTAATAGCTGCTTCCAGGCAGGAAGGAGAGCAAATACCTGCACTGAAAAATTATTATTGCATTGCCTCGCTGTTATAATGCCCCTTCATCTGCAGAAACTGGGTTTGGTTTTGCAGTCTGTCGCACAGGTAATTCAGACTCAGCTTCTCCGGTCACGTGTGGCAAAGATTAGACTCCTGCTGCCAACACCCAGGCTGTGCTTAAGGACCTGGCGGTGTATTCCATCTCTCATCAAAATAAAAGGGTCTGTTCTGAGTTGATGCCCTTTTCCCATGTTCTTAGACATGTCTGGGAAGACCCTGCTCTACCAGGAGAGACAAATGCTGGTGCTTGGGGATGTCTAAACTACCTGCTCTTACCTCCCAAGTTTACCTGGGGCCACGGACCTGGCTGAACTCTGACGCCCCGAAGCCGTGTACTCATCCAGACATCATCACTCTTAGAAGTTCAGTTTTCTAGCATTCACTTTTTTTTGGGGGGGGCAGAAGTGGAAGTAACGAAGACTTCTTTGTAAAACTTCTCCACTTGAGGGAGTTCCTTTTCTTCTCTTCGTGAGGCCACCAGCTTGATGGAAAGCATTTTTATTGTGGTTTTGAAGGCTACTCACAGTTTTCTGACGTGCCTTTGAGTGCAGAACTTAAATGGTGCCTGGTCTGAAGGAGAGCACGAGCTCTGAAGAGTCAATATCACAACAACAGCCCATTTTTTATAGACCTAGCAGTGTCCGGTAAACACAAAAACTGTATCCGTCATTCCTGCAATTGAGAATATCTCTGAAAGGCGGCTGATGAAGATCTTCAATGATACTCGTGAGCCCAAGAGGGTTCAAGAAGCAAAAAGGTTCCAGGAAATTCTGATTGCTTTCTGTCCTTTTATATATATATATATATATCTATATATATATCTCAAGAAAATGAATACTTTTCTAATATTCTATGCTTCTACAATATTCTAAACTCCTCCCTGCAGAAATTTTTGGGAAAAAAAAAACCTGATTTCAGGTTCGTAGATTTAGACAAATTCTTCTTTTCTGAAATGTTTATGGCAGAGCACAATGCTTTAGGGGCCAAGGAAGGACCTGAAAGCTTCTGTAGATTGTTCCTTTTAGCATTCTCTGATTTCTAGGAAGCAGCATACGTGGGCTCGATATGCAAAACTCGGACTGCAACCCAGTTACTTCTCCTCGTGACTAGTGATTATGGAAACTGAGTGTTTCGTCAGTCCCGCTGCAGGTGGCACGGCTGTAGCCATCTAGACGTACCTCCGAGCTTTGCCTCACTTTCTTCCAAGGTAGTTACAACCCTGGGACTTCTCTTTCTGGAGAGTGCTGCCCAAAGAACTCGTATAAAAGATTTGGTTTGTGACCGCTGTTCGGGGCAGGCTGGGTGATCGCTCTGTGCCAGCTGAGTTGCCGCGTATCCAGGTTTGGAAGCAGGTGGTTTGGTTTTTTGTTTTTTTTTTTCTCTATATGAAAAGATCTCTCAGGGATTTATAGCCAGTTTCTCTGCAGGTGAGTAAAACACAGCTAGAATGTTATCATACGCCACTTCTTCAGGTCTGAGATGAGCAGGGGCAAGTTTTATAAGCTTGCTACTCGTCCCTAAGAGAAACTGGGAGAAACACGGGCACGGAGTATTTGATGTGGTGCGCCGCTGAGGTTCCCTGCAAATCCATTGCATATGTACACTCAGAAATTGCTTTTGGGCCGTATATGTAATATATTTTAGACTTAATTTTGTGTTTTGTGGTTTTTTTTTCAGGTTCCTTTTGCAGAGGCCAGTAAGGACTAGATGACATGACTCCCGATATTCCCAGGTATGCTGCGGCCGTGGGACATTTGGGGCATGGGGGGGCGTGGAGTGGGTGGTGTTTCTGCACCGGCTCTGTTTGATCAGCTCGAGCTGCGTTTCTGCAGAGAGAAGTGACAACCTTGCCTGCCCCAAGCCACTCGTGCTTTTCTTTCACACCTTGCATTGAGCCCGCACAAATGATTTCAAAGCCAGGTAGTGAATTGCACCGAGGAACCAGTGCAGGGTAAAATCAACCCTGAATAAAAAGAAGAAAGTTTAACCCAAATGTTTTTTTTTTCTCAGCCTGGTTCTCTGTGAAGCCTCACAGATTCTTGTGCTGAGTACGGGGAGGCAGAGGCGGTGAAGTGGGAGTGCTGGTCAGGAACGGGTGGGGGCCAGGGTTTAGTCTTTGATGGCGGCGTTGGTTTACACTGTCTCTAAGTTATAAAGAACCTGTCTCAGCAGGGAAATCTTTTCATGCTGGAAAGAGCAGCAGTTTCATTTTAAGGATTGCAGTGGATCTCTCCACCCACTGATACAATCTTAAAGGAAACGCATCTGTTTCTTCCCTCACTGTGGTTGCCTGTGCTCCAGTCTTTGGCTTTGTTCAGGTGAAAGCGAGTTTAGGAGAAATGAGATTATGGAATCTCAAAGGACTGACATCCACAAGTCAAAGCAAAGAGCCTGTCTTGGTTTTCTGTGCTGTGGGCTGTAACTAACATGTATTTGTTCTCTTAAAAATGCCGTAAATTGCATCTGTATCTCACAGCACTGTCTGGAAAATCACATTTTTAAAAATTAAGGCTCTTCGGATGCATCTAAACGTTGCTATGATGTACCGAGGGCATGCCGAGATCCCACGTGAAGAGGGGAGTGCAGCTCTGAACTGCCTCTACTTCAGCTGTGAATTTAGAGCCTATTGATAAGAACAAAAGTGTCATAAGATTTCCAGAGTCGAGATTACTTATTGTGCTCCGTGTTTTATCTCCTGCTTGTATTTCTAGTGTCTGTACCAGATTTTTTACACGTAGGAGAAAACCCATGCTTTCACCTAAAGGGGAAGGGGAAGTCAAGAGTCTTTATCTGACACAAGAACTTACTTAAAAATAGATTGCTCTTTAGAAAACCAAAACCGTGTAATTATTTCCTACTAGTTAAATTAATTACCCTCACTCTAGGTAATACTGATAGAGTAGTTGAACGTTTCAACGAAGTAGGTCACAGGTTTAGAATTTATACCATCCTTTTCATTTGCAGCGCGGCGTGCTGCAGGTTGTGTTGTAAAAGCTCCAGCTACCGGAGCTGCCGGACCTGGAGCACGTCGGAGCAAGAGGTGTGTAGGAAACTCCGCCAAGAGCTGGGCGCTGCATCCTCGCCCTCCAGGGCATAAAGCCCCAGCACACAGCGTGCAGGTTCTGGTTTTGTTACGTTGGGGAGATGTGTTCCAGGAGGCATCGCCCAGGCCGGACTGGGGTCTGGCGCAAAGCTGCCCTGAAGGGCTGGGGTGTGCGGAGTGTTGCTCTCCACCACTTGCATCCTTGCCGTCCGAGGATTAAGACAGAGCTCCTCTCCTTGGCACTGTGTAGTCATGACTCAGTGGTGGTCTTGGTCTTCTCACACTGACCTGCAAGCTGTAGGCTGTCTTCCACAAATCGCTGAAATACGTTGCAAGTCCTTGTTCCGTGTCCTTGAACGCCCTCCTCTTTCAAATAAAGACTTTCATTTGAATGTGGCTTTCTGTTGTATGCGTGCATTAGCCTTTGGTATATCTGTATCGCAGGTTTAATATTTAATTCCACTGGCATTCCATGACAGGTTCTTCTTAAGTAAAGAGAAATCAAACGTCATCATTTTCCCAGTTCTTAAAATCCACTGAAGGCTCTTGGTTCTCCTGGGGTGATTTTTGTGGTGTATTCATGTTTACTGATGAATACACCTCAGCATGTTTGTCCGTAATTACACAGCAATGTCAAGAATCCAGTGCATATTCCCCACTCCTTTTTCCGATATGCTTTAGGTTCAATTAATTCGAGAGTGGCTTTCGTTTGAAAAAAATAGGAAACATGCTCAAAACAAACCAACTGCGGGGTGATTCCATTAACATCAAGATCGATTCAGCTTTTACTGAAAATGGTTTTGATAACAAGCAGTTTCTTTGTTTTAAAAGTCATTTCCAAAAATAAAGAAATTCTTCAAATAGTTTGCTTTCTGAGGTTGTTGAGCAGATGGCCAACACGGGTATGGCACACACCTTCTAACAAGTGCCAAGGCTTTGAATCCAAGTAGAACTGGAAAAAAAAAAAAAATCTTGGCAGAGGTAAACTGCAGGCTGCGTTCAGGTTCTTTTTCTGTAATAAGCAGTGTTATTTTTACCCCTGGGGTTCTATCAGAGCTTTTTGGGCAGCTGCATCCTCATGGTTCATCTGTCTTGCTTCATCCGTACACATGGAAGATAAGCCTCCTTCCGGAGGGTTTGGAGGGCGTTGTGTCAGACTTTGTGCTTAATATTTTCAAAGAAAAAAAAAAAATTAGAGGATTTTTTCTGTTCGGAGCCGATGATGAAGGAAAAGCACGAGGGTGGAAATCCTGAAATAATAACTTCTAGCTGATTTTTCTTGCAGAGTTATTTGTGGTGAATTAAAGCAAGGAGAAAGTGACCCTTAGTTATTGGTGCTTTTAAAATAAACCCTGAGCTCAGCCAGCATGAATCAGGGCTGTGCTGCGAGAGGCAGAGGTGCTGATTTTGAGCTGTGGCTCTCAGTCCGGCAGGGCAGAACAACTGGCTGCAGTGAAGAGAAATTAATGCGTGTATTGCGGAGAGATTGGCCCAGCGTGGAACAAAAGGGGTGTCTGGGTTACCTGTCACGGTGCCCCCGTGCCTGCAGTGTCACCCCGGGACGCGTTAGCGGAGCGGGAGGTGGAAGCTGCGGTTTCAGCAGCGACCGTGTTAAAAAGGAGAAGACCACTTAGGCTGAGCAGTCGGAAATAAGCCGGGAAATAAGCCTGCATTCCATTGTACATCAAATTCAGAACCATCCCATGATGCCAAGATTGCCGGGTAAATGACTCAAGGTAGATGCAGCCTTGAATATAATGAGAAATAATAATACCGTCCTCTAAAGCTTTGTTTGTGTAAAAGGTAAAGCTCAGTTGGAGTCGGGTTCTGCTGGTGTTAGATCCTATTGCAGCAAGGAACAGAGAAGGCCAGTGCCTGTGGAAAGAGGTTGAGTTTTCCATGCTGGTTTAGAAGCTGTCGGTATTACAGGGCTTTTAACTTCTCTGGTGCTAACCAAGAATAATTCACATTCAGATTTTTTTTTTTTTTCTAGATCGCATTACTCATTAAGCAGCACTGATTGTAAAAAGTCAGTCACAATTCCTTCAGTCTTGGAGAAAGGGGAAATCTCTGTGCCAGTTGCAGTTTCCTTCTCCACGTTTTTAATGTATTTTGCTTTTGCAGTAATGTTGGGAATGTAGATGTTATTCTCAGATAAGGTTTTAAATTTCGTGTTTTGAAATCAAAACCAAAACATGTACTAATTTTAGCTGTATAAGAGTATTATTTTTTTTTTTTAAATCTTAATTTTAAACTCATTAAATTTCTTTTTTCTTTTTTTTCTCTCTCTCTAAGCTTTCGAACAGCCCGGGGAGTTTGTGGGAACAAATACGTGGGAAACCGATGGGACTGTTGATACTGAAATTCAAAGCCAGCTCATACGAAGTAATTAAAGCCTCTGCGTTTCCTTTATGAGGGAGGAGAAGGAGGATTGTGTGAAAAGTCGTGCTCTGCATGTTGTAGGTGTACTAGGTTGTAATATAGGATGCCTCCCTCAGCCTCGTGCAAACAAATTCATCGAGACTGATAGATAAGCGCTTTTATAACCTGCGTTGGCATTCAAGATGATCCAGTTCCACTTTGATGTTTTGGTTTTTTGTCAGATCTGTGGCAGATAACACACACTTCTGTCCCTTTGTCTTCCTTATCTATCCAACCGATTCTCTCATTTCGACCTGACGTTGGCGGTTCAGGAGTTCAGTGCTTCACACAGCTGAACGCTCACAGTTGCTGTTGTGATAAATTAGAGAACGGTCTTCGGGGAGATGGCCGGTTTGTGGGGGAGAGAGGGGTGACACGGACTGACTCGCTGTAGGGGCGGACTGTACAGATGAGGAGCGATGGCGAAGCTTTGGTCTGTGGGGAAGCAGGAGCTTGAGGTGAAACTGGGAATGAAGAGCTGCTGAGGGCTGCTGCAAACTGCAGAATTAAGTGTGTGGCCAGAGGTGGCAGAGCAGAAGAGGAAGAGCTCTCACAAAAGGGAACAGAAAAGCTTGCCAAGGGTGATTCTTAGAGGACAGGGTAGGGAGGGGCCGTCAGACCAGAGCCATACAACTATTTAGGAATATTTCTGCTTTGAAGGGGCTGAAGAATCGGGTCATGCATTGGACAAGCATTGCGCTGACCCGTGAGCTTATATTCAGATCTGCGTGGTTATTTTAATGTGACTTGAGTATGGCTCGAAAGCTTGAACCTACTACCTGCTTCTTCTTTTTCCCAGTTTTTAAGTTAGAATTAAACTTTTTGAGGCCTGATACGCGATTGCTGAGAAGCAAGGATGGTTAACAGTCAGTTGAAAAATAGCGGTTGGCACTAGAAAAGATGTCTGGGGTGTGTGTCATAGCGAAAGGTCTGGGCAGATATTTTCTGTTTCTCCAGCATCTGAAGCCCCGTGCTCAGGACCTGGGCTGTAAGGCCAGAACTTGCCTTTGAAAGAGTATTGAGGATTTCACAAAGTCATTGCTGCTCACGCTTGAAGTTTTGAGCCTCACTCAGCGTGTATCCTCACAACGTGGGATTTCCTTTTGACCCTTTCTCCTTCCAGAATCTGTGAAAATGCTTCTGTTGGGGTACAGTCTCCTTGCTGGTACAGTCTTTGGGGATAAATAGCATTTCTGCTTAGGGGGGTTTCTGGCAGTTTTACTGTCTCTTAACTCTGTTTGAAGGAGAAGGTCTCAGTAAGACTGCCG